TACATTTCCTCAATATATTAGTTAATGTAAAGGATTTAACTAAACTTCTCTTCATGAATTTTTTGGAAAATGTGACCTCCTTATTTTGTCTTGGCTGCTGAAAAAAGAATGCAAGGGTTTATCTCTTTTGAGAGCTTAAACCCGTGTGGTGGTGTTGTTGTTCAGTTTAGTGCAACACCAAAAGAGATGGTGTAGGAAGGGAAAGGAATGCAGAAGAAAAAAATGAAGAGGGAGAAGTCCAAATACGTGTTACTAATTTGACTGCATTTGTTTTTATAACATATTGGTGAAACTTGTTAGTTCAGTCAATTCTTTTCCTCCCTTCCCACGTCATGGAAACACAACTTGAGAAATTAAACCACAGTTTAGAAGTGGGTGGAACCTACATCTGGGAGGCAGGGCATCTTTCTTATAATGACCACTTTGGGAAAAACAATTTATTGTTGGATCTGTGAATCAGAGCAATTCCATCCTCTCTGTCAAGGTCAATGCAGTTAGTTTTTATCTACAGGAGGAGATGGCTTCATTTGAATGTTTTCCCTCTGACTTCACTATTTTTGCCACTTTTTCACGGAACATTTAATTTGGATCTGTGGGATGGGGGTGAGGGGATACTGTTCAGGTGCACGGCAGTCAGACTAGAGAAGCCTGAGAGCCAAGGTGCCACTCTCAGCTCTGCTTCCTACACTGAAGATCACGTTAAAGGACTTGGCCAACCTTCTGAATAGCCTCTACCTTTCCCCTATTTTTCCTCCCCTTGGCCCCTTTAAAAAAATAATGTTTAGCTATTTTTCTGATTTTAAAATTATTCATGATAAAAATTGGAAATTATAGAATAGAAAGATAAAAATTATTCAACCATCCTCCTACAAATCAGAAGTGACAAAGGTTAACTGTGAGTGTATTTCCCTTCAGTCTTTTTTAGCTGGGATACACACACACACACACACACACACACACACACCCATGATGTTGTATCCTTCTTACTTTGAAATAATTACAGATTCGTAGTGTCTTGACTTTTTCATATAACATTATATCATGAATATTTCCCCTTTCATTAAAAATTCTTAAAAATAACATTTTCTGAGGTTGCAACTTACGGAGTTAGCATTATTTTGAAAAAAGTGTGTCATTAGATATTTCTAATTTATGTTATAAAAATAATTTTAGTCCATAAAAATTAATAGACATCAATGATCATCTCCTTAGGATAAATTATTTGAAGTTGGGTAAAAAGGATAGCTATTTTTAAGGCTACTGAAATGCACCAAACTCCTACACAGAAAGGGTATATGGATACAGTCCTGCCAGAAACGAATTCGAATACCAAGCTTTTCCTTACCTTTGATGGCATAAAGCGTTACTTTGTTTAAAAATATTTTGCTAATTCACTGGTCATTTTGCAGTGAGAAGCTGATCATGTTTGTTGGGAAATACTTTTTATAATGGATTCTAGAATAATTACATAAACTGCAAGAGAAAGTCATACAATTTCAACTTAATTAGAATAGTTAGCTAAAAGAGTTGTCATTTTCTGATGATTTTTGGTGGCTATTAGGCTAGACAAAAGGACTGTTAAGCTCTTTACAATAACATTTCTAATACATCTGATTACTGCCTTACTTTAATTTTTTCAAAGGAAACCTCCCCATTTAAAGGATCTTTAAGTGGTATGTTTTTTCCTCTTATAAAAAACATTCATCCAGATACTCAAAAAAAGTAAGTTGCCTTTCTTAAGATACATAGACCCCTCCCCCCACCTCCAACTCTTCTATATGAAGTTAGGACAGACTTCTCTTTCTCTTAGAAATTGCCTAATGTATGTACTTTAATTTCCTAGAACTAAGCTGAAGAGTGGTAATAAAGTTAATTAAACAGGAGGCAAATGAATATTTAAGAAACAGCATTTATGGAAGCAATTTTAGGCAAATCTGTGATTTAACAAAGTTAATCTTTGTTCTTTACTTACCAAAAAAAAAATTATTGAAAACCTACTATGTGCCAGGCATTTTGCAATATGCTGTTGATAAAAAGTGAAAAGATACAGTCCCTGTTCTCCAAAGGATCACAAAGTAATGGGAGTAATGGACTTATATAATTACAGGGCTAGGTGAGCTCCTATCAAAGACGCAGGCTCAGTGGCGGGCTGGGAGAGGAGGTAGCTAGCTGTCTGGGTTGGTGAAGAGGTAATGTGTAAGCAGTGTTCTGGAGGATTAGTAGGATCGTCAGCTTTAGGGGTGGGAGGATGGCAATGGGTTTCCCCAGGCAGAAGGAGCAGCACATGAACAGAAACCAGGGAGAAGCATCGCACTGTTTAAAACACCAGGGATGCTCTGGAAGAATTTAAGCAGGGAAATGACTTGATCATAGTTTGTCTCCGGAAAGATCTGCAAAATGGTCAATGGAAGATATTTTTGTGTGCCTGGGGTGCTGGAGCCACGTTGCAAGATAAGATGTAGGGGGACCATTTAACAGGACAAGATATTTCACTGGCCTACACCTGGGGCTCCCAAACTTCAGAGTGGATCAGAATCACCTGGATGACCAGTCATGAAACACAGATCATCAGGCTCCACTCCCAGATTTGGTAGGTATGGGATGAGGACTGGACTAAGAATGTACATTTCTAACAAGTTCTCAGATAGCTTAAGGTGACTTCTAGGATCTGGATTTAAGCAACTGGGCAGATCCTGGTACCATAAAACAAAAGAGGGAAAGCATGAAGCAAGTGCTTCCATACCCAGCAACCTCCCTTCCTTCTTGATGCTGTTTCTCTCATTCTCCAAGATTTGCATGTTACCTGCTGGCGGTCTCCCCACCCTTCCCTGTGAGCACCATCTCTCTTAGCTTATGATAGACTCCAATGGACTAATGTGTCATTGATTATGAAAATGGGAGTTTTTTTGCTCCTCTAGGGTGAGACATTTCTACTTTAATCATCCTCCTGAAACCACACCTCAGCTCGATGAATGACTCCAGTAGGAATTTCAGGTACTACCACAGGCAATCTGCAAGATTCGTTCCTGGATAGTGGGGGGCGGGGGGGGGGTCTTTTGATATCCCTCAGTGAAACAAGTCTTGCCCCACAATGCAGAGAGACAGGTCTACACACATGATAGACGCCAATTACAATTTCTCTTCTTTGGACTCTGCCCCAGATTCTTTCCTTATCTTTGCCAAGAAAGAACAACAGTGTCTTTTAAAGATATTTCCAGTTAACTGTAATCTAATAACCTTCTGCTTAAATTACTTGCTCTAATTATACGATCAGACAGTGATCATAAAATCTTCTCTGAGTCAAAGTATGTAAATGTGTGTATAGACATATGCACTCTCACACTCCTTGGGAAAAGTGACTTTACCCCATTTTATAGCAGGGTCTTCATCTGTACAATTAAGATTATAAACTACCTTACAGGGTGTTGGGTGGATTAAATTAAATAATGTTCATAAAGTGTCTAGTCCACTGTCCTGTATAATAAAGATTTTCTTCTCTCCTTTATTTTCTCCTTCATGGTTTGTTACCTAGCCACTCTGGTGGGAAGTGACCAAACTCTGGACATCTTTGAAAGGCACCACTGTTTGGAATGAATGAACTCAGACAGTGGTGACATCATATTGACCAGGGATTACCTCGTGAGCTCACTGTAGACTTCCACAGGTCATTCTGCAGATACCATCAGTAGATGCTGAAGACTATTTTTTTTTGTTTAAGATTTTATTTATTCGAGAGAGAGGGGGAGAGAGAGAGTGCGCGCACAAGCATGCACAAGCGGCGGGGGAGCAGTAGAGGGAGAGGGAGAAGCAGACTCCCTGCTGAGTAGGGAACCCAACAGGGTGGAGGGTGGGGGGCCTGGATCCCAGGACCCCCAGATCATGACCTAAGCAGAAGCTCAACTGACTGAGCCACCCAGGCAGCCCTGAAGATTTTAATGTTAAGAGTTGCTTCTTTTAAATTGGATTTTCTTAGGCTTCCCACTCTACCACTTTCCTCATTCCCACTCCAATCACAGAAGTTCTTGCATATTCTATTTTAATGTGGTCATTTGCTTAAGACTTCACGTAATCCAACCCTTTTCTACAACAGGAAAAAACAGGATTAAGGATAACCAAAAGAGTCGAGAGGATGTTGTATTCTGACCTTTACTTTCTCAGATGTCAATTCTGTAGGTTTTAAATGGTATCTCAGCTTGTTTTAATACTAGCCATGTTCACACTTTGGGAGTTTTATCCTGGCTCCCATGAACATCTGGTCAGTAGATATTTGTAAGATCTCATTTGAACACTGTAACAGTTATTTATTGAGTATTTACTGTGTAGGAACTCTGTAAAATCTATTTCCTACCTATTCTCATATACATATTCATTCCCATTCTATAATCATTATCCACATCACCTCAGATGTTTTTATAAAAATTCTAGGAGGAGAGATATAGAACATGCCTTAATCATTTCTTATCATGAACACTAATAAAACTATTTGTTTTCCAACCTTGGAAAGGCACTGTTTTCCAGACTCTGATGAGTTACATTCCCATACTTGGTGTGGAGTTCCCTGCATAACAAAATTATACTGGATGGGAAATCTTTGTCAGGAAATTTGATTATTTCTATGTTCATTTTATTGGTGTCCCCTGCTGTGCCCCCACACCCTCGCCAGACTCAGTAAAAGGGTATATGACAGTATTCAGTCAACATTAAAATATATGTCCAGAGGGAATCTCAGATGAATATTGTACAGGGGAAAAAAAATCCAAGTTGAAATCATTTGTAAGACAATTGAATAAATCCTGCTTCACTTCAAGGATGAGAAACTGGACTTGGCACTATGATCAGGCTCAATATCTGCCCTTCCTGGAAAATCCCTAAAGAAACCCTTGCTTTTAAAGTTGATGCTTCCATAGCTTAGTTTATTCTATCAAGCGTGTTCATCTGTAGTAAGTTTAGTAGATTGTACCTATAAGTGAGGGCTCAGTTCAGCATGCTCTTGTACTCACCTATGAATCTTATGATCCTTCGGAGTAAGGGGTTCAGGTAACAGCATTCTCCAGTCAGAATGGTTTTTTCCTGGGCAATCAGAGATTCTCTGGTTGACTTTATGAAATACATGGATATCTCACCAATAAAAATCTGGAGAAGGAATGTTTAAGAAATGTCAAGTTGGAGAAAACGGTCTGATAAAAAAGACCAGTGACTTTAAAAAACCAAAAGCAAAACCCAAACTTTTGAGGCTCCAGATCCTTTTAAAAGATGTCATGCTGTAGAGATAGAGGTTTAAATAGTAGTTTGTATTTAATTCTTCAAAAGAATTAGAGATGGCAATAATTGATCATTTCGGCGAGGTTTCAGGCAATCCTATTAAATTCTAAGTTCATATAAAACCATGAGTTGCAATAATAAATTGTAATAGAATCTATGATAAGGCTCACTCATGCTGGGACTAAATTCTTTTAACTGAATGTGTGAGCTGCAGTGATGAGAAATGACTGGGACAGTCATGTGCCCAACAAGGCATTATAAGCTCACATCACAATGAATTATTACTCCGTTATATGGCAATACATTATTTACCCAATAAATCTTTATTTGAACATGTTGGCCCGAGCTATACTTCTCATACTGTGAACTGGCTGACTGTCCCTTCTTTATAATTGCCACCTCTCTTCTTATCTTGGACTAATATGTATATATTATCATATAAATCATAATGCATTTGTGTAGACTGTAAGCTTCCTGAAGACAGGGACCATGGCTTCTGTTTCTTGATTATGCTTCTAGCGCTCAGCACGGTGTATTCCTATTTAAAATAAGGAACTGGTGGGAGGTAAGTTGTCACCAACTCTGCCACAGGTGAAGACTGAGAACCATCAATGAAGAATAAAGTTACTAATTACTACCATCATCTATTGATAACTAGGTGTCTGGTACTTCATCATAGTATTTTTCATGCTCAGAAGGTCCCTAGTGTAGGTATTGTTACCCTTGTTGTACTGGTGAAGAGAGAAAGTTCGGTACCCGCCAGAGCATACAGCTGGCACGTGGAGGCCCTGGCACTGGTCTTCAGGAACTAAGTTCCAAAGTTCACACTTTCCATCACATGATACGCCATCTTTATTTTCCTCATCCCAATTTCAGCATTTCCCCAGAAGAATGTGACCTTATAGACGTTCTTCTTTGCTAGACACACGCTTACGGTGTTAGATAAACTTTATCACTGTGTAAGAGTTCCCTTTCCTCACATTCCTCCTGTCATTACGGAATATGTATTTAGATGGATAAAGAGGACAATGTCATGAATGGCACGTGGGTGTGGAAATTAAACTGTAGAATTGCAAAACTGGTGTCGTTTACAGATATTTTCCACTTTACGAGCAAGGAAACTGAAGGTCTCAGGGCCTTGGCCTCCCATAGTCGGACAGTAGTGGAGGCAGCACTAGAATGTGGCCATTACGCGTCACCCTGTGTGCACGTGTTACCCTGACTGCACAAAGATAACATCTGCGGCACAGAGGGATGAAATAAACTAATCTCTGACCAAGGTCAGAGCTAGTAAGTCACAAACCCCAGCTCTGGAGCCAAGAAGACCTGGTTCCAGAGCCTTCATTTTCACGACTTAGACTTTTACTTGGCAGTGACTCAATAAAAATAATTGTTGAATTTGTGTTTAATATTGAGAACATAGAAGACAAAACAAGTTAAGTGTAATGTGTTTTAAGTACTGAAAAACTCAGATGCTATTAAAGTACAAGACAGAATGGTGTCGTGGAAATAGAACTGGAGGCAAGTCAGAATGGGATAGGACATTGGCGGGAGGAGATAGGACTCAGGGTCCGACAGGCACACAATGGCGTGGATCATGTTGGCAGGTGCTAAGTGTGGTTGTTCAGACTTAGCAATACTTTGTGCCTGATGTCCCATTAACAATGAGTTGATGCTCTGCCATGGACAAATATTTGAATAGCTTTAAGAACTCAGCCCTCCCTCTTTTCTAGTAATACCTATCCCTGCTAAAATAAGGTGCCAAGGGGTTTTGTTTGTCCTGACTGTACATGATGGAACTGCATTGCTGTTCTTTATCTTAGTGAACAGATGGGGATAAATTCATGCATGCTTGGATATGTGAAATAGTATTTCCTTGAGCGAGCGTTCTCGGATTCCACAGACTAGCTCAGACATTCTTGTTATACATGGATTTCTTACCTTGTATTTCTCTTTTCTATTTCTTATCAGAAACGGTTATGTGTTATTATTGTTGTTCTTTGTCATGGGATGTCCTGCCTGTCTTACTCTTGGTTATACTCCCCCAGGGCTTAGCCAAGTGTAAGGTACAAAGTAGTTATTCAGTGCTGAATGAACTAAGCATATCAGATTAATGAAGGTCTTTTGAAATACAGGTTTAATGAGGTAGATTATAAAGAACACAAAACGATTTCCATCATGTATCCTCCCAGACCCAGTGAAAATGTCACTACCCTTCCCAAAGCCTTTACCAGATTCCCTCAGGAAAAGAGGGACCCTGTCTTATCATTGCCCCACAACACAGTATACAGATCTCTATCCTGACATCTACCCAATTAACTGCAATTATTGTTTGTATGTCCCTCTCCAGTTGACTATGATGTCCTTATGGGAAGGACTTTTGCCATTCCTTGTATGGTGCTTAGACAGGGACTGCTATATAGTAAGCTCAATCAATATTTGTTGAGTGAATAAAAGATTGAATCTTTAGAGGACCTATTTATAGATAGAATCCTCTGACCTTAATTTCTCTGAAGATGAACAATGCAGAAAATTGACAATATGGACCAGAAAGCACACAATTCTTGGTGTATTGCTTAAGATTAAATAAAAACTAAGGGCTAAGTAATACAAAGTGAATTATCTCTTTTAACCTAAATTCACTCGTACACTCATTTTGCATTCAACAATTCTGGAGAGGGAGAACCCACTCTGCCAGAGGCAGAGTTGTGAACAGATGTCTAGTATGTATGTGTGTGTAGGGAGGGCACAAAAACTAATAAATACACCATGTAATGTCATGAAATGACATATGATTACAAAGTAAATCAGGAAAATGGGACTGAGGGTGATAACCACATAAGGATAAATGTGAAAAGAGATAAGCATTGCTTGCCCTAGCCATTTCAGAAGCCCAAAACATTCTTACTCCACAGGAAAGAGATGTGCACATTCTAGAAATTCTCCATTTAGAGAAGCTTTCCACTACTCACACATGAGGGCAAAGAAAGCAAGAAAATGTGTGAGAGAATCTATACACAACCTATTCTTGTTAAAGATACACATGTGCATACACATATACCCACATAAAAATCTCAACAAAATCGCTCCAAGTCATACCAAACCAAACCAAACCTGTCATGCAAAAGGGTATGGGGCTCAAATAAAATGTCTATAAGTCAATCCTAAGACCCTCATGTCAAAGGTAATAAGCAGTACAAGAATTGTTACCATTGGCCAACAATATTAAAATTCCAATTAACGTATGAAGCATAAAAGAAAAAAAAAACAGAGCAAGGACATATACTAACTTATGTATCTAGTTGCTGACATAATGCTGGGAATATATAAAGTGATAATAAATGTTTACATAAGGAAGAAAGGGAGGAAGGAAGAGAGGGAGGAAGGGGTCATTTTATAACTAAAAGGTAGGAAAATATTCCTGGTCCAGTGCTCAGACTCCAATGAGTGGGCTTCATGGATGTTCATTTTTCTGTATTTTACTGACCATACCTAGGGTATTATTTGTCCATTTACTGGGTCCTATAGTCTCATTCAGGGCCTGATTATGCTTGGAGAGAGAGAGAAAGAATTCTGCTTGATAAGGGAAGGGGTCCCTCTTCTTTCCTGCTAGGCCTCCAGCCCACATTGAATGTCATTTTGTACATGGTGGCAGGTTTATGACTCTGGTTTTGGCAATGGTTGGGTTCCTCCATCTGTGTCTCTGCTACACACACTCTGCCTCTATCTACCCCTCTGTTCAGAGAGCAACTGGGACATGTGGGACTCTCCAGGTGTTTGGCCCTGGCTGTCCTATTATGGCCTTTCTGATTGCTGGCTAACAAACATCATATCACTCACAGCAAATGAGAATACCCCCTGGTGAGAAATGACCAAGGCCAAGCTCTAGATCTGGCAATGAATGAACTGCAAATGAATTCCACTGGTGCATTTCTTATCCCCCAGCTATACTAGCTACAACCCCATGTGACATAAGACATTTAGATAATAGTAAATATAGTTTAAGTAATGAGGATAACTGTTCTATCTTGATAAAATTGTATTTCAGATACGTAAGCCCAAATGGCAAAGAAGTAAATAATCCTGGAATGTGGTGCATCAGTTTGGTATGTTTTATTTTTTTTTTTTAACATTTTATTTATTTATTTGAGAGAAAGCGAGAGCTACAGAATGAGACAGAGCATGAGCAGGGGTACGGACAAGGGGAGAAGCAGGCTTTCTGCTGAGCAGGGAGCTCGACATGGGGCTCGATCCCAGGACCTGGGGTCATGACCTGAGCTGAAGGCAGATGCTTAACCAACTGAGCCATCCAGGTGCCCCTCAGTGTGTTATCTTTTAAAGATTTTTTATTTATTTGAGAGAGAGAA